TGATTGTTTTTCTTACTGTTTGTATCGAAATATTTTCCTTTATCACTTACATCATGGTTTCACATATTTCTACAAATATTTACTGTATATACTTGTCCAAAATAGCAGCAGCAACTAATCAAAACACATAATTTACTGCTCTTGACAATAGGTAAAAAAACTATTAAGCAGAATTAAATACACGGTATCGTTGGTTTCCATCCTCCAACATTGCTCGTTTCTCATCTGGCCCCTGGAAAAAATATAATTGCCCACCCCTGATCTAAACCATTCTACCAAGTCGCACCGCAAAATGAAAGAAACAAACTCTTTATATTTGTCCGAGCATTGTCTTTCTTAAAAGATATATTTTCCTCATAGATTACACTCATCTTCTCAGCTCTTGAATATCTTCTGGATGTTATCAGGAAGTAAACATTTCTTTGACTTGTACAGTACTTSAACAGTTCTAAACTGGACTACATCTGTAAAAAGACTATGAATAACATGTTTGTATTTTCTCTGTACCCAATATTATGAACTATTCTAAGAGTTGAGCATCATCTGAAGAAGTAAACYAGGAAGTGAGCCCTCATTAAACTGCTGAGAACACGTATGACACGTATGTTATCAGAAACATAACTCTGCTCAGAATGGTCCCAGGCCGGGAGGCGATCCTGCACCGTGTGCCGTCCACACATTGAAAAAGTTACACAAAAATCAGCTTAAAGAGCAGCTCTTACTAAAACAAAAAGGAAACCGAGTGAGGACTTARAATAACCAACGACAGCCTCCTCACCTTTCCACAGCCGCACACAGCCGTCGTCCCCAGAAGAAGCCAACAGGGTGCTGGTGACGTTCCAGCTCACACGCCACACCTGGGAGTTATGATGATCAAACTGAGCCATGATCTGCACGTCGAACTTGGTTGGTCCTGTAGTGGTGCTCTCTTTCCTGCCGGGAGAATCCAGGACAAAGTTACAGTTCGTTTAGTTTTCTCTTGCATTCATTGCATTGGTGAGAGCAAATATTTGTGTGCAGCTTACTTTTACATGAAATGCAAAGATTTCAGGAATAGCAGGTAAAATAAGTATTGAACACGTCACCATTTTTCTCAGTAAATATATTACTAGAGG